GTTACACCTCCACTTCTAGCGAGGGTCCAGGAGATCACAGTTATAGCTAAGAAGATATGAGATTACGCCCCACTTACTCCTCCCTTTTGATCATTTCCGATTCCCCCCTCTGACAAGCTTTGGAGACTCTCGCTATTGGATTACTGGCCCGGAGGTTGAATCCCCATAGGGGAGACCTCAGAGCAATACTGGGACTCTAATGCTGATACTGCTGCACCTCCGGTGACTTGGGAGGCTGGTAAGGCTACCCTTATGGGTCAGTATCGCACCCTGATTAGAGGACTGCAGGCCAAAAGAAGGGCGGAGGTGGAGATAATGGACAGACAGGTGCGAGAATCTGAATCCAGATATATATCCAACCTTGACCCCATTAATCATCATAACTTGAAACTGGCCATTAGGGAAGCCCTAATTTTTGCGCACGGAGGCAACCAGAAAGGCATTGCTCCATCAGAAGCAACACGTTTTTGAACAAGGGGACAAATCTGGGCGTTGGTTGGCTTGGGAACAAACTCCTATGACTAACGTTGCCCTCATTCAAGCTGCGGATGGTTCTACAGTTGCAAGAAAAAGTATGTGAACTCCTTGGGATTACGTGGAGTTTTGCATGAATTGGGCATAAAATGTGCTCTGAACGTCATCTAAGTCACAACAATAGAAGAACACAGTCTGCTGAACATAATACTACACAAACATTAGATGTTGTCATGGTTTAATTGCACATAACATGTAAACATTCACAGTGCAGGGAGGAAAAAGTATGTGAACCTTTGGACTTAATATCTGGATGACCCTCCTTTGGCAGCAATAACCTCAACCAAACGTTTCTGTAGTTGCAGATCAGACCTGCACAACGATCTGGAGTCATTTTGGACCACTCCTCTTCACAAAACTGTTTCAGTGTGTAGCAATATTCTTGGGATGTTTGGTGTGAATCGCTCTCTTAGGGTCATGCCACAGCATTTCAATGGGGTTGAGGTCAGGACTCTGACTGGGCCACTCCAGAAGGCGTATTCTGTGCTGTTGCAGCCATTGTTTTGTTGAAGGACTTGTATGCTTTGGGTCATTGTCCTGTTGCATCACCCATCCTCTGCGGAGCTTCAGTTGGCGGACAGATGGTCGTACGTTTTCCTGCAAAATGTCTTGATAAACTCTGGAATTCATTTTCCCATCAATGACAACAATCCGTCCAGGCCCTGAGGCAGCAAAGCAGCCCCAAACCATGATGCTCCCTCCGCCATGTTTCACAGTGGGGATGGGGTTTTGATGTTGGTGTGCTGTGCCTTTTTTTCTCCACACATAGTGTTGTGTGTTCTTCCCAAACAACTCAATCTTGGTTTCATCTGTCCACAGTATATTTTGCCAGTAGTGCTGTGGAACATCCAGGTGCTCTTTTGCAAACTTCAAACGTGCTGCAATATTCTTTTTGGACAGCAATGGCTTCCTCCGTGGTGTCCTCCCATGTACTCCATTCTTGTTTCATGTTTTCCTTATTGTAGATGTGTCAACAAAAATGTTAGCATGTGCCAGAGATTTCTGTAGGTCTTTAGCTGACACTCTGGGATTCTTCTTTACCTCATGCAGCATTCTGCGCTGTGCTCTTGCAGTCATTTTTACAGGACGACCACGCCTAGGGAAAGTAGCAACAGTGCTAAACTTTCTCCATTTGTAGACAGTCTGTCTTACCGTGGACACATGAACATCAAGGCTTTTGGAGATACTTTTGTAACCCTTTCCAGCTTCATGCAAGTCAACAATTCTTGATCGTAGGTCTTCTGAGAGCTCTTTTCTGCGAGGCATGGTTCACATCAGACAGGGCTTCTTGAAACCAGTAAACCCAAAACAGGTGTGTGTTTTTTTAAGGGCAGGACAGCTGTCAGCAACACATCCAATATCATCACACTGATTGGAGTCAAGGTTGGCTCACTCCTGGCTCCAATTAGCTCTGGGAGAAGTCATTAAGCTAGGGCCTCACATACTTTTTCCTCCCTGCACTGTGAATGTTTACATGTTATGTGCAATTAAACCATGGCAACATCTAATGTTTGTGTAGTATTATGTTCAGCAGACTGTGTTCTTCTATTGTTGTGACTTAGATGACGTTCAGAGCACATTTTATGCCCAATTCATGCAAAACTCCACGTAATCCCAAGGGGTTCACATACTTTTTCTTGCAACTGTATGATCCTTGATCTCAATTAACCACCATTTTGCTGAATACTATGCAACCTTATATTCTTCCAAACTTACCTATACCTCACAGGAGTTGTCCCAGTATGTGGACCTTGATGATCTACCGTCTCTTTCTCCAGCCCAGAGGGAAAAATTGTAGGCTCCAATTTCTTTGGAAGAGATCCAGCAGGCAATTGGTGCTCTCCAGTCTGGTAAAACACTGGGTCCAGATGGTTACCCAGTTGAGTTTTATAAAACTTACATTGATCAACTGGCTCCCCGTTTCCATCACCTTTTCAATACCCTGCAGGAGACAAGAATCTTGCCCCCCTCTATGCTGCAGGCAGTGATAGTAGTGTTTTTAAAGCCCGGGAAAGGATCCGTTACAATGCTCTTCTTACCGTCCAATCTCCCTGTTTGAATACTGACACAAAAATCCTCGCTAAAGTGCTTGCTGGGAGGCTGTGTTCAATTATTTCTATGTTAGTACATAATGATCAGACAGGCTTCATGCCGGGTAAAGGCACTGACATTAACATACGTAGGTTATTCACTAACATTTCTTTTGCCAGTACCTGAGACAGCCCAGGTGTCGTGCTGTCCCTTGACACCGAAAAGGCCTTCAATTCAGTCGAATGAAAATACATGTGGGAGGCTCTTGGGCATTTCAGATTTGGCCCCAATTTCATCTCATGGGTCAAATGCCTCTACAATTCACCATATGTGAGAGTCCATACTAATAGCAATGCTCTCGCTCACCCTTTTGCCCTCCACAGAGGCACTCGACAGGGATGTCCCCTTTCGCCAGGTCTCTTTGCACTTGGCCTCTCTTATCCGCTCCTCTAAGACCTTGCGAGGGCTTTCTGGGTCGACTAGGAAGATCGGGTTTCCTTGTATGCAAACGACACTCCTCTTTTTTTTTTTTTTTTTTTTTTTTTTTTTTTTTTTTTTATACCTGGAAGACTGTGTTCTGTCTCTTAAAGTGGTGCTGGACATTATCGATCGCTTTGGCCATTATTCTGGAGTACGCATAAATTGGGAAAAATCAATATTACCTCTTTCGTCGGGAACTCTGCTTGTCATTACTTTTGCCCCTATTAAATCTCGAAATGTAAATATTTAGGTGTGGTGGTTCAGTGCAACCTAACTAAATATGTTTCAGACAATCTTCTTCCCATTTGGCAACAGCTGCAGACTAAATGTAGTGCCTGGTGTCTCCCCCCACACTCTATTTTCCTCACTCTCCTTGTTTTCTATTTCGCTCCCCTTCCCTGGCAGGACATCTGCACTTTAGACCACACTAAGTGCCTGTTTTGATGAGTTTGCTCGGGCTGTCATGATGCTATTGTAGGACTCTTCTGTTTTTAGGATACTAGTTTATACAGTTTATCTTGATTTGGTTTTATGTACCTTTGCTTGTTTGTACCACTGTACAATTTAAATAAAAGCAACTATTAAAAAAAGTAGACGACTGATCACTGGAGGAATCCTCCTCACCAAACCTTTCCTTGGGAAGGGGAACAGATCAGACCAAGCCCACTGGGGATCACAGTACCCACCTTGCCTAAGACCTGGACTCCTGTGCAATGAAATCTGCACTGCAGATATAAGTACTCTGTAGAGATGGAAATACTACAGCCCTTCCTATGTATGTCTTATTATCCTGGGCTTGTTGTCTCTCCCCCCCCCCTCTAAATGAATCATGTTTCTAGAGGGGAAAAGTAACCACCTTCTCTTCTGGTGTCCATTAATGGCAGGTCTTAGGTGAGATGAGTTAAACTGCTGTCAGTAAGGGGGGAGCCATTTGGTTCACAGAGCATTTGTGTTTATTTTTGTCACTGTTCCAAGATTAATTTGAAAAATTGGGTTGCCTATGCTACTCGTGACCTGTGAAGTTGTGATATCCAGTCGTCTTGATCTGGGCTGCTCCCCTCCCAAGAGGAGATTCAGTTAGAGAGAGGCCTGCAGTGCTTGACCCTCTGGACATACCAATTTAATATCATCCATCACCATCCCCTATGAAGTGATAATAGTAACCCATGAAATGTTTTGGAACCTGTCTGGACCCCATAATCTGATCAGTATGCAAGAGATTACAGATAATAAAACTACTCAAAGAGACCTAGATTTGGGTAACTAGGGCACTAATGTAGAGCAGTGTATATTTGTACATATTTCCTTTCTTAATACATTGGTGGTGTTGTAAATACATGTTTGGAATATATTGGCCTTATGAAGGCTTGCAAACAAAATAAGTACCATACTTTTCATTGTTGGTAAATATATTTTATATTTTTTCATTTTAATTATTTTTAATTGAAAAATAACATAAACAATTTGATAGTGTTTAAACCTACGTGCATAGTTTTATATTTTGTATATAACATCTTTTAAAGTCCCAATAATAAAAAACAAAATTATATAGACTATGAATAGGGATGTGGTGTCCTTTTTTAATTTATGAGGCCAGCTGGAATATGAAGTGACCAGACACCCTTGTATAACATTTTTACACCCAGTAATTCAGGGTGCATAGCACAGTATGTCACCTGTCCATTAGTTTCTCTTATTTACAACACAAAACTAAGTAGTGGAAGTTGCATGTGGAAATGCCCTTCAAGGTTACAACAGTGAATAGGAATTGTCCTTGCCTGTAACAGGGAAACCTCTCCACATCCAATTTCTATTTACTCTTCAAGGACATTCCTTTACAGGGGAAACTAAGTTAAATAATTTTATACTGCTGGAGGTCATGTTTGTTCCTGTGAACAAGCAGTCTTATGATCATGGTGCTCATGGATTTTTCTTTTATTTTCCAAAAACCCTAGGACTTCCAATGAATAATCATGGGAATTATATTGTAAGACTTGGACAATTTGTCAGTTGGCTCGGAGAGCAAGCAGAGGCTTTGGGGGTTGAAATCTATCCTGGCTATGCTGCTGCAGAGGCAAGTGTCCATTTTACGTCGCTTGACTGCCATCTGGCTTCTTTGTTGGGTTTGTACTTTTCTGTACAGAATTTACTCTTTTTAATGAACCTAGTACAAAAATCATATTGAGTTTACTAGATCCTATGATAAGAAGTGCTCAAAGCTTCACAGCAGAAAGACTGCATATGGCTGTGTATTAGTTTTCTGTTATTCAGAAGGGAGATTATATTCTTTTCCAATAGTGTTTATTGGTTTTGTCATAAAAAAAAAAAAAAAAAAGATTTTACAAAGAGGTTCAAACACGTATGGCATCCAGTTCTTGGCTAACTCTGGCTAATCATAATGGTTACAAATCATTTGCAAAAAACGACAATCTAAAGTAATCATCAGTTATTTGCGCAAATGACAAAATTAGATCCCAAGTGGGACTTAAGGATGCTAAAAAAACAACCTTGTTACAATAAACAAGAAAATAACATTTATCAGGACATGTTATAGACTGTTCTGGTCTGTATGGCTCGGCGGGCTCCCACCAACTCCCCTTCCATAGTAGGAAAGCCATTAGCCATTAGCTAACTGAATTTTAAAGAAGCATAAAAAAGAAGAAAGAAAGTGAAGAGAAAAAGGGAGGAGGGGGGGAGTAAGCATAGGAGGGGGGGAAAATGGAGAGAAGCAGGATTTAGGATGTGCACCCTCTATTTACTCTACACGTTTCCCCACTAGGAGGGATCTGAGCGATATTTTATCCAGGGATCCCAGGGAGATATTATATCCTTTTGAGACCTTCTTTGAGATATAGGCTTACTTTTCAGCCATATGCAAACCTCTCTCTATCAAATTATGCCTTAGATTATGGGGAGGCCATCATTAAGTTGGAGATTTCATGAAGCACAATGATGTGAACATGTGAAAAGGTATACTATGTGAACACTCCTTTAATTACTTTCTTCATATGTTACAGTACAAATCTTTCAGTAGTAGTAGTAGTAATATTATTATTTGTATTTTTTTTTTGTTTTGTTTTTTTGAGACATACATGTTTTACACGGCATGATTCCCAGCCTTAAAGTTTATCTCCTTATTTTTAGGTACTTTTCAATGAGGATGGCAGTGTCAAAGGCATTGCAACAAATGATGTAGGCATTCATAAGGATGGCTCACCAAAGGTAAAAAAGAAGTTAATTACTAAAAGATAAAGGTTATTCTCTTTTTCTACACTTCTAAAACTATATTATTATAGCATAATGTTATGTAGAAGGTGTCTTTATCCAAAACTGTATTTTGAGTGTATCTTGAAAAAGAAAGAAGAACCAATTTAATATAATTCTGCTTTGGTTGGCAGTCCTTAATAAAGTAATTGCATGTTTATTTTTTTATTCTATTTTTTAGCTATATCATTTTATAACCTGCAACCTCCTCGATCCCCTACAGTCCGGCTTCCGTCCCCTACACTCCACCGAAACTGCCTTACTCAAACCCTCCAACGACCTGCTAACCGCCAAAGCTAATGGCCATTATTCAGTGCTCCTACTCCTTGACCTCTCTGCAGCCTTTGACACAGTCGACCACCCCCTCCTCCTCAAAAAACTACACTCCCTCGGCCTCAGAGATTCTGCTCTCTCCTGGCTCTCATCCTACCTGTCACAACGCTCTTTCAGCGTTACCTATAATGCTACCACCTTCCCCTCTCTGTTGGGGTCCCTCAAGGCTCTGTCCTCGGGCCCCTTCTCTTCTCCATCTACACCTCCTCCCTTGGCCAACTCATACACTCTCACGGCTTCAACTACCACCTCTATGCCTGACGACACACAAATCTATCTCTCAACCCCCCACCTCACCCCCTCGGTCTCCGCCCAAATCACACACCTACTGAGCGACATATCAGACTGGATGTCGCTCCACTTCCTTACACTGAACGTCTCCAAAACCGAGTTTCTTGTCTTCCCCCAAGCCCAGACACACCCCCCCCCCCCCATGGACTTCTCCGTCACATCCAACAACGCCACCATCAAACCCGCCCCGCAGGCCAGAGTACTTGGTGTCATTCTGGACTCCAACCTATCCTTCCAGCCCCAAGTCCAATCTTTGACAAACTCGTGCAGACTCCACCTCCGCAACATCACCAAAATCCGCACGTTCCTAACCCCAGAAACCACTAAACAGCTCATCCACTCCCTCATCATATCACGACTCGACTACTGCAACTCCCTCCTCACTGGCCTGCCTCGCCGCTGGCTATCCCCGCTTCAGTCGATCCTGAATACGGCTGCCAGACTCATTCACCTTTCCAACCGCTCCATCTCCGCCACCCCCCCCTCTGCCAATCCCTCCACTGGCTTCCGATTGCGCAACGGATCAAATTCAAAATCCTAACACTGACGTACAACGCTGTCCACCATACTGCCCCGAACTACATCACTGACCTAATATCCAAGTACCGCCCAGCACGCACACTCCGCTCCTCACAAGACCTCCTTCTCTCTAGTTCCCTGGTCTCCTCCTCCCATGCCCGCCTCCAGGACTTCTCCAGGGTGTCACCCATCCTCTGGAACTCCCTGCCCCAACCCATCAGATTATCACCTCTCCTCTCCTTTAGGCGCACCCTGAAAACCCATCTCTTCAGGGAAGCCTACCCCACCCCCTGCTAACCTGCCGACCTCCTCCACTCTTCCTACCACTCCATCCCCCACAGCTAGCTCCTCCTGTACCACTATCCCCTCCCTCCTAGATTGTAAGCTCGAAAGAGCAGGGCCCTCGATCCCCTCATGTTTTGCATTGTATTGGTATTGTTCTTTCACATGTTCTGTCCCCCTTTGTAATGTACAGCGCTGAGCGAACCATTGGCGCTTTATAAATACTGTATAATAATCATAATAAGGCAAATGGCTTAACATAGGTACTCTTTTGATTCCTGCAGTCAAACTTTGAGCGTGGTTTGGAACTCCATGCTAAAGTCACCATCTTTGGAGAAGGCTGTCATGGGCACCTTGCCAAACAGTTGTACAAGACTTTCAATCTCCGAGAGAACTGTGAACCACAGACATACGCTATTGGTCTGAAGGAGGTAATGACTTGTTCTCCTATGCTTTGTATTTCCATTTATTGGGGAATTACCATATTTTACATAGCTGTGTCATTCCAGTTGAACTATGCCTCCAGAAAGAGGAGTAGAAAACAAAGAGTAGAGTCAATCCATTCACTTGTCTGGTACTTGCTAGAGAAGTTAGTATTTCAAGCAACTTAAAGTGTCACCTTACAACGGAGCTCCAGCCAAAACCCTATTTCTTGTTCATTTTGAATCAAGTGGGGAAAGCTTAGAAAACAATTGCTGTCTCTATCCTCAATATGTACATTTCCTCTCACTGAACAGAAAAGTTTAAGATCACCGCACAAATATGCGGTCAAGAAAAAGCTTCCCTGGGTTGGTGATGTCACTAACAAAAAAAATTTCCCCAAGATGGTGGTATCACTGAAAGTAAAACACTTTTCCCCTCCTTTGTATCACCAAAATGAAAAAGAAAAAGGGTTCTGAGTTGGTGTCACTATAAGGGAAAAAAAAAACGTCCCCTCAATGGTGATGTCACTGATATTAAGTGTCCCTGAGTTGGTGGCATCACTGAGAACATAAAATTGCCCTGGTCAGTGGTGTCACTGAAAGGAAAATAATGGTCCCTGCTTTGGTGATGTCATTAGAAGAAACACCACTGCACAGCTTCTCTCTACCTCCCCAGCACAGAGTTCTTCCTCAGTCCCAACCCCTCACCCTTCACTACAAAGTTCATTAACAGGGATGAGCTCAGGCACGTTCATACCTAGAATATGTGTGGATGCAGGGTGGGAAAAGCCTCCACCATCTATGATTACCTGTTGGCGTTGACATCTTCTTGGCGGGATAGCTCAGGTGGGTTAGGACTTGTGTCTGAACAAACTTAAGCTCACCACCACTCATAACCCATCCTCCCTCCAATCCCTTCCAACTCACCCACCCCCCCCAATGCAGAACTATTCCATCCACTCCCAGCTACTTACCCAGTCCTCAGTTCAGGAGAAACGGCTGCCAGGGGGCTGGGCTGTCATGCTCTGTGTGAATGCTCCCTGCTGTTCATTATGACAGTCTAGCCTCCTGGCAGCCACTCATCCTTCAATGAGGAGGCGGTGTTGCTTGGAGCATGCTGTCACTTATAAACAGAAACAAGCACAGGAATACAGTTTCTGGTTTTAGAACAAGTGACAGCTTGTACAAAAAAAAAAGCCCTGCTGACAGGAGTGACACTGTAGCCAATCTGTTAGTGAGAGGTAGTATGCGGAGCTGCTGGAGCTCCCTGTGTGACCCCCACCCCCTGCACATAGATCCCAGCACTGGATGGGTAAAACTACCATATTGCTCACAAAAAGAATGGATTTTAGACTTTTTAAACTTTTGCTGCTGTGCCTATACTTGCATTTTGTACCCAAGATGACGGAACCAATTTTTCCTAGGCATAAAAAGAAAATCCACACTTGAAAGTTTACTGCAGAGCTGCCCATTCTCACCTCAAATCCTATAGGACTTTTTTAACGAAAATAACCTAAAATCAGTACTATTGCACTGACACAATATGATCCTCAAACTTCCTGGTAAATGGAATATATGACACTGCTGAGATAAATAAGAAATAAATTTACACTTCTTGCGTGTTTGGGGAAAAATAGAAAAGCAAAGCTGCAAAATAGTCTATACTCTAATAAAGCATAATGACATCAGTGCCTTCTGATTGCGTGCATGTCTTTTTTGTTGTTTTTTTATTTTGTAAAAAAAACTATATACATTTTTCTGAAAGTATGCATAGACCCTCATCAGAGAGCTTCATGACTGCTCACAAAAAAATAATTTTCTAAGTAAATTTAACAAAGTAAGTGAAAATGTGTACTAACTTAAAGTATACTAAAATTTTGCTTTAGGGTTCCTAAAATTGCTAATCAGTTTCAGAACAATTACAAATCAGCCAATATTATTTTAATTTAAAAAATAAAATACACACTGGTGGCATTTTGAGGTGAAGCTGTATTTTAGTTGTGCAATAAAATAGGGTAATAATCAAGAATTTGTAAAAGAAATATCCAGTCTTAGTCTGAATGTTTTTTCTTATGGTGTTCAGCTGTGGATTATTGATGAGAAGCATTGGCAGCCTGGTCTTGTTGAACACACAGTAGGCTGGCCTTTGGACAGACACACCTATGGAGGATCATTCCTTTATCACCTGAATGAGGGGGAACCACTTGTTGCACTTGGGTTTGTGGTAAGCATGCTATTTTTCCTATAAATCCCAGGCTTGTATTATTTTGTCTAAAACCATTGTATTTTTACATTGTATTTTTACATTTGGAGCTATACACTATAACTTTATACTTCAACCTAGAAATCTCAGGGTCCTCCCTATCTAGTCTAACTTGCATATTGTGAAGTGTTGGCAAATTAAAACTGGCTAATGGTATTGGCAACAGAAAAGAAACACTGGTATAGTTGCCACTTTATTAAAGTTTAATTCTAAGCTATTGCCTATCTATGCTTAAACCTGCTCCCACCCCCTTCTAAATCCTATTCTAACCACCCAGTGAAAGGGAGATACTTACAGTGAAGAAAGTAAGTATTTGATCCCCTGCTGATATTGAATGTTTTTGCCCACTCACAAAGAAATGATTAGCCTAAAAATCGAATGATAGGTGTATTGTAACACTGAGAGACAGAAGAGTAACAAAAAATTCAAAACAAATACATGTCTAACAAATTATGCACTGATTTGCATGTTCATGAGAGAAATAAGCATTTGATCCCTTTCACAAAACATGACTTAATACTTGGTGGCAAATCCCTTGTTGGCAATCACAGAGGTCAGACGTTTCCTGTAGTTGGCCACCAGGTTTGCACACATCTCAGGAGGGATTTTGGCCCACTCCTCTTGGCAGATCCTCTCCAAGTCATTAAGCTTTGGTGGCTGACGTTTGGCAACTCGATCTTTGAGCTCCCTCCACAGATTTTCAATCGGATTAAGGTCTGGTAACTGGCTAGGCCACTCCAGGACCTTAATGTGCTTCTTCTTGAGTCACTCCTTTGTTGCCTTGGCCATGTGTTTGGGGTCATTGTCATGCTGGAACACCCATCCACGACCCATTTTCAGTGCCCTGGCTGAGGGAAGAAGGTTCTCACCCAAGATTTGACGATACATTGCCCCATCCATCGTCCATTTTGATGCGGTGCAGTTGTCCTGTCCCTTTTAGCAGAAAAACACCACCAAAGCAGAATGTTTCCACTACCATGTTTGACAGTTGGGATGGTGTTCTTGGGGTCATAGGCAGCATTCCTCCTCCTCCAAACATGGTGAGTTAGGTTGATGCCAAAGAGCTCGATTTTGGTCTCATCTGATCACAACACTTTCAACCAGTCCTCCTCTGCATCATTCAGATGTTCAGTGGCAAACTTCAGACGGGCCTGGACATGTGCTTTCTTGAGCAGAGGGACCTTGCAAGTACTGCAGGATTTCAATCCTTGTCGGCGTAATCTGTTACCAATTGTTTTCTTGGTGACTGTGGTCCCAGCTGCCTGGAGATCATTGACAAGATCCTCACGTGTAGTTCTGGGATGATTCCTCACTGTTCTCATGATCATTGACCCCTCATGAGGTGAGATCTTGCATGGTGCACCAGACCTAGAGAGACTGACAGTTGTTTTGTGTTTCTTCCATTTGCAAATGATTGCACCAACTGTTGTCACCTTCTTACCAAGCTGCTTGGCGATAGTTTTGTAGCCCAGTTCAGCCTTGTGTAGGTCTACAATCTTGTCCGTGACATTCTTGGACAGCTCTTTGGTCTTTGCCATGGTGGAGAGTTTTGGAATCTCATTGTTTGATTGCTCCTGTGGACAGATGTCTTTTTATACAGGTAACAAAATGAGATTAGCAGCACTCCCTTTAAGAGACTGCTTCTAATCGCAGCTTGTTACCTGTATGAAAGACACCTGGTAGCCGGAAATCCTGCTGAATGATAGGGGATCAAATACTTCTTTCCCTTGTGAACATGCAAATCAGTGCATCATTTGTTAGACATGCATTTTTTTTAATTTTTTTGTTGCTATTCTGTCTCTCAGTGTTACAATACACCTACCATTTGATTTTTAGACTGGTCATTTCTTTGTGAGTGGGGAAACATTCAAAATCAGTAGGGGATCAAATACTTATTAACTTCACTGTATGCTTGCCTATTCTCATGGCGTTCCGGTCCAGTTATGTGATTGGCTTCAGAGGAGAGGGACAGTTGACAACGGATGCCTCATAGCAAGCATATGGGTGATGTCACAGCCCAGGCATTTCAGCCATTGTCGTAAATCTCTCTTCTCCCCTTAAGCTGGTCACTATGGAGATCACGTGACCGGACCAGAGCACCCTAAGAATGGGTAAATTATAAGCCTCTTCCTTTCACTGGGTAGTTAGAATAGGATTAAGAAGTGGTTGGTTGTAGGTTTAAGCAGAGTTGGGAAAAAGCCTGGAATTACAGTTTAGGGAACTATAGACTCAAAAGTGAATTTGCAATCACAGCACTGTCAATGTTTCTGACCCCGCCTCTGCAGTGATACAGTGCATGGAGATGAAATGAGATTCTTGGAATCAAGATTTTTGTGTTGGATAAAATAAAACAAACATTCTTCAGTTCATTTATATTGCATTGCTTTACTGGGTGGCACCATTCAGCTTTGGTGCATTTTATTTTTCATATGTACAGTAATTTTCAAGAGATCAGGCATACAGGTGAAATTCGAAAAATTTAGAAATTTGTGCAAAAGTTAATTTATTTCAGTAATGCAACTTAAAAGGTGAAACTAATATATGAGATAGACTCATTACATGCAAAGCAAGATAGTTCAAGCCGTGATTTGTCATAATTGTGATGGTTATGGCTTACAGCTCATGAAAACCCCAAATCCACGACCTGGGGGGGGGGTGGAGCCTAAACATGGCGGTGTCGGAGAGCACGATGTGAGTGCTCTCCGATAATCTCAAACCTGCCCATCCCGAGACCTTCACGGAGTGAAGCCCCACCGGATTGTGGAGGGCCCTGGGAGAGAGAGGCGGGTGTGGAGACGGGAGAGCGGAGCTTGCACGGACCTCCGGGAGGTGAACTTGCTGGGGAGATCCCAGGACAGCTGCCGGGTTGGGCGGGTGTGAGCACGCTGCTCGCCGCAAAGGATGACTGGGTAGTAGAGACGCCGGCCGGTTCCCTCGCAGAGAGACAGTGACAGGTCGGCTCCCCTGGCACCACATGAATGGGAACCTGTGCGGATAGAGGAGGAGAGATGCTGCAGGAGTAAGGGGCCAGCTACGGAGGACCCTTGAGGGAAAGTGGATGCTGGCTGGCGCCCTGATGTGACAGGGTGCTTCTGGCGTATAGCTGCCTGTACCCCCTGGCCGGCTGTTTGATCCTGGGTCAGAGAGACCCATAAATATCAGAAGAGCTACTCTCCTTCCCTGAGTCGACTTCTAAGGACCAAGAAAGGAAAGTGAAAGGAGGAGGAAAGAAAGAAATATAGTATCGGAAACCCTGAGGAATCCCCCCCCCCAGGACTGAGCAGCAGTGAAGACCCCCCACACAAGTATGGAGTCACCGTCCTGAGAAAGGAGGGGTGAGTGAAAAATGTTGGGAGCTTATTGTGTGGTGAACCCCTGAGTGTCATGCGCTACTAGGGGGTGAAGGAGGGGGAGGATTCCCAGGGGCTAGAAGATAAGAAGAGAGGAGGCCCAGGTGTCCTAGGAGAGTAAAGGATATAGGAAAAATTGCAAGTCTACCAAGATATTTAGAGGACATGAAGAATAAAGGTCCCAAGGGAGCAGGGCCCAAAGGGTCCCAAACAGGAACAATAAAAAAATATACATCATATGGAAATACTACGCCAGAAAGGGCCCAAGGAGCAAAGGGGGAAATGGACACTAGTTCAGGAAGTAGTCCTAGATTATCAATGGGCTTGAATAGCAGCAGTAGCCAACAAATAGTGGATGGCCTGGGAAGGAAAGGATCTGAAGGTGAACTACAGGTACCAAATAAGAAGGAGATGACTGAAATGTTTCAAAATCTGGAAAAAACGATAAAACATGAAATAACAGCTATTCGAAACGATTTAGGACATCTGCTAGCAAGAATGGAAGAAACGGAGGAGAAAGTTAAAACCCAGGCCCAGAACATAGATAATCTAAGGAAAAAAATAAGCCAATTAGAAAACAACCAGAAAAAAATGATCTATAGGATGGAAGTTCAACAAAATAAAGAAAGAAGGTGTAATCTTAGAATACGAGGAATCCCAGAGACTGCTAAAGGGGAAATATTATACGAACTAGTCAAAAAAATCCTAAACTCCATAAGAGATAGACCTGAAACAGACGGGATCAAGTTAGACAGAGTATTTAGAATAGGAAAGTTCAATCAGGCTACTGAGAAGGAAAGACCGAGGGACATAATTGTCCAGTTCCAAAAATTTGGGGCCAAAGAGGAGATTGGAAGAAGACCAAGGGAAGATCATTAATTAAGTTTGGAGACTTGATTATCCCAAATTTATGCGGACTTAACAGTAGAGACCCTAAGGAGAAGGAGATCCCTGAAACCCCTGTTGGAGCAAATGAGAAAACAGAATGTGCAGTATAGATGGGGTTCCTCAGCATTTCTAATTGGCTGGAAAAATGGGGTTACAGCGTATTTGCGATTTCCGGAAGATTTAAGAGATTTTTGTTATGACTGGACTTGCATAGAATGGAGATAGCTGGGTGGGAAGAAGAAAAAGAAGACAAAGGAAATATAACTAATGCAAGAAAAGAGGACTGGCAGCACGTCGGGGGGAGGGAGAATTAAGTAGAGAATGAGGTTTTTTTTTTTTTTTTTTGTTTTTTTTTTTTCTTACTTCACTCTCTCGCCACTGGTCTTCCTCCTCCGGAGGTCGAGATCCGCTTAGAGGATACGGTTAAGGGTGGGAGGTAAAGAGTAAAGACTCTCGCTGAGTCTAGACTATAGAAAGAGGGAATTGGGCGGGTCGGAGATGAGGCGAGCCGTACATAGGTGGAGCTTACGCCCTAAATTTTAATCAATGGTGGAAATGGATCCACAAATGATTTGTAGGCAGTTTATACGCCTAAAAATGGGTAGGGGAAAAAAAAGAGAGGGTGGGAGGGGTGGTAGGAAGGGGAAAGGAGGGGGGGTGGGGCTAATATTCTGCAAGTCATTTGGGCCTAATAGGAGGAGACGAATTAGAAGAGAGATAAAC